CACACACACACACACACACACTCTCTCTCTCACACACACACACACACATACACAAACGCTGCTCAGCTCATACGAACTGTCCGTATGTCCAAAGAGCGGTCACCTGGAGCCTCTGTTGAGCAAATTCACTGATGAAGAGGAGAAACAGATGAAGAGGATGCTACAGAGAATGGACGTCCTCGCCAAGGTATTTCACCAAATCTTATTAACATTATTAACATTAAAATTCAGTTTAAAAGTTATTCTGTTGTATAAATGACGACAGAAATCAGATGCTAATATTTGAAGCTTGGAAACAATCCATTGACTAGTCTGCATTTGTCAGATTTTTTTTAAATGATGAATTTATATGAAATAAAAAAGAATTAAAATTGAATAAAAAAAGTTGAAAAGTGCAAATTAGAATTAGAATTTAATAGTTAAAAATAAAAAACAATATGTATATATTTACAATTATGAAATTATATAATTAAAATGTATATTTAATAAATTTAAAAATAAAATATGTACCATATTTATGTATTTTTAAATGGTTAATAATTTTTTTAATTAAAATAATTTTAAATTTAATAAAAACATCTTAAAAATAAATTCTAATTATGTATTTCATTTTTTAAAAATCTGTTAAAAAGTTATTCTGTAAATGCTGACCGGTAAATGACCTTAGATTTGTTGGACTGTTTTCTTGTGACCTGGCACATGAAGAAGTTGCAAAAGGTCTAAAATTGACAGAAATGTTACGCCAGAAATCAGCCGGTAAGGGTTGGTTTCTCCACTCTGCGTGTGTGTCTGTGTGCATTTGATGTTTGCCATTACTCTCTCAGAGTGACTTGACCCTGATCAGCCATTAACCAAACACTTTTCTTACTACATTTCACCGTTTGACGCAAGAGCGTCTCATTTTCCGTCTCGTTTGTGTTTGCACATCTGCGCTTGACCAAGGAGACGCTGGTAGATAAACTCTTGTTAGAAGCAGTTCTGGTGGAAAAGTATTGCTCAGTACTTTTTAACCTCGACTGCTGTGTGACGTTTCACTTTGATCGTCCAGTTTAAGCATTGAATAACGCAGGAATGTAATCAGGTGGACGATAAAACAAAGCCACAATAAAACAGCACACCGTCAGTTTGTTTTAACTTCTCATTGCTCAGGAGGTTTTTAAAATGCCTGTTCTCAGCGTCACAAGACTGACTTCTTATCTTCTGTGAGATAAACACACAACACACTGATGAGTATGAAAAACACACTATAGAGAGAAATGGTTTTAAAAATACAATGTCAAATGCAAGGAAGCTACAGTTAACTGAATACAAACAAGTTATGGTCTTCATCTCCATAAAGACAGACTGAAGATGGTACATAAATTGTACATTTGAAGGTCTAAATGAAAGAGTTTTTATCTCTGCAAATGCTGAGGTCATTTATCTAAACCCTGTGAATTCTTGAAACTGAAACAGTCCACGGAATAGACTTGTAAAGATCACAATGCTTTTTAGAGGCCAATAATATATCATCAAATTTAAAAAATCTGTTTTAATTATTGAATTATGTATAATTAAAATAGTCAATGATTTTAATGTAATAAAATGTAAAAAAAAAAAAAAAAA